GCTAAACAAAGCTCGGCATTTGTTTTAAGCCAGTTCAGTTCCCCCTTCTGTTTAAGGTAAGCCGATAGTTGATAGCCAACTGCCTACTGACTCTCGAAGCTCGAATTAGAAGCTTTGTTTTAATCCAAACACTCACTCAATGCAACTGTAGAAGGTCTCAGCGAGTTCTATGGAAAATTCTGTCCGTCAGGGTATCAAATGATCAAAGTGTGCAGAAAGTAAGCCAAGGCGAGAAGCTTTAAGCAGAAGAATAATGAATGTAATACGAACTCCTACAAACAAATCAGTCAAGTAAACAACTAGTTGGTATTTGAAAATAAAGATGATCCCCGTAAAGATCTAATGGTTATGGAAAAATGGCTATTAATTAGTAAGCTGCATGGTAGCTCGTAAACTGATGGTTAAAAACCATAAATTTAGCCACAAGATCGTAAAAGAAACATTAAAAATTAATAAGAAAATGTTTAAACAAAATGCTAATAAATTATTGGATTGATCCAATAAATCATGATATCGATTGAGCTCTATTTCACCCTTACTAGCCACCCAAAAACCCAATTAAACTCACTCTCTTCGCCAACTTGACCCTAATTTGCTTAACCCCCATTTCGATGATTGTCCCGCTTTTGGCCAGAAGCATTTTCGATAATGGCCGAAATAAGCTGTGGGAATGCTAAACTTTTTACGCTTTCGGGGGTACAATTACAATTATCAACAGCTAGAAACGACATTTAATTAGACTAAGAAGGCTTTTATTTGGCTTGGCATATTATTAACCCATTAATGGCCCATAGCGCTTAGGTCATCACAATTAGCCAAGTTCAGGGAGGTGTCGGGGGGATTTTCGCCACTGGAAATAATTTGATTACCGGTGAGTGCAGCGATGACCTCAGCGTGTAATGGAAAACTCATTAAAACGGCTTTTATTTTTCTTTCGCATTATTTACCTGACTTTGCACCTGTTCTGTGGAAACGCGTGCCAAGTGAAAGGGAGAGAGAGAGTGCGAAAGAGCGACGCCAAAGCAGTTTGACCGCAAAGTATAAAATTTCAAATTGGCAGCTGCCGCCAGCAGCTGACACCTGAATTTAGGCCACCAAAAAAGGCAATAATTAATAAGAGAATCAAAAAAATATATATAAGGCAAAAAACCAAAGCCAATGTAGAGAAGAAGAGGAAACAAAAAAGACCGAGAAATAAATCCATTTGGGCCGGAAGTTCCAGCGAAACTGAGAACGAAGCGAAACCACAGAAAGCCGAAAGGCGAGCATAATGCATCCTTCCGTCTTGGTTTCCTTTTAACTTCCCTTCACTGCCGTCCCCGCTGCTTCTCTCTTCCTGTCCAGCTGACAGGGATGATTGAGCTCACCGCGTTTCTTTTACACAGTGCGAAAATTTGTATATATTCTGAAAGTGTTACAAAAACATATTATATGGCCTTTAATACTTTCAACCTATTTTACCCTACTTTATTATTACACAAAGTTTTTGTAAAATAAAAAAAGGTATAATATTTCTCTCTGTGCACGTTTCGACAGTCATTGGGTCCCGGCATGACGTCAACAAACTCATTTTCTGGGTCACTCCCCGACACAGACAACAATAGTTTTATTGACATTTCAGCCCGTCGAATGGGGGGCAACCCTAAAGACAGAGTTGTCCCACAATCGAATTAATGATTGGTTATATTCCCCCACCAGCCCTTACATTTATTTAACCCCCCAACCGACGATGATGACAATGTGTGTTTATAAGCGGCATTTATTATTTTATCACAATGACGGGCCAAAGTCAACTGAAATAGGCATGGAAAATAAGGGGGAAAAGGTGAGCAGGCGTGTAAGACACACGTGTCACAATTTCCAGGACACGACAGGACAGTTGGTGCCCAAAAGTGGAGCAAAACAAATTGCGTGTGAGTAGCAATCATAAATCTCCACTTGAGGAAATTTAAAATTCATTACAGTTTGACAAGCACATAGTAAACTACAGTTTTGTGTTCTGCAGGTAGGGGACAGTGGAAACCCGCTTACTGTCAACCAGCATCGTTCCGTCTCCTTCTACTAAAGTGCTGGCCAAGCGGAGAGCATGCCATAAATTTTAAGCCATTGCCAGACATTTTTATTAATGACGCAACGCAACGCAGAATTCCAGTCTTATGCAAACAAGTGGCAAGTAGCCAAAGACTCGAATCTCAAGACTTGATTTCCTTATGCACAAGGAGAAAAAAACATGAAAGGTATTTTTATTAAGTCTTCTAACAAAGGTTTATAAAATCTAAAATTGTATATATTTTTAACTCATCGCCATAATTGAAAAATTAATTTTTCTTTTACTTTTTTATCTCAAACTGTTTACCTTTTTAGGGTTTATGAATCCCATTTTTCCCAGTGCAACCCTCTCCCCTAGTTTACCCTCCTTTCGACTGAATTTGTTGCCTTGTCTGGTGGCAGTCGTCGTCTCAATCTCAATTGCAGTCTCTAGAACCCAACTTGCATAATTGCAAATGCAGGCAGAGACACAAACACAACAACGTTGAGGAAATCCACTGTAACAACAAAAAGTGGCCGTTGCAGTTAGCCGGGCTTACCGTTAGCCCAGTCAAGTCAAGTCGAGAGGGAAAAACAACGAAATTACTGCAGTCTGCAGAGCAGTAGCAGAGGCTTTTCCAGCATTTTCCCATAATCAAAGAGTAACAAAGTTGCGTCTAATGCAATAAAATTTAAGACTCTTTTGTACAATAACAGAGAATAGAGGAGATATAATCCCCTTGCGAGTCGTACTTCTGCTAGGCCTTTGTGTTACCATTATAATTATTTGCCTGGCCATAAATTATGGGAACCCATGGCGGCGGACAGGGTTGCCACATCGCTTAATTACCCACCGAGCTCCACATCAAATGTGCGATTTCTTCTCGGGCACTATGAGCCCCCTTTAATCCCCTGAAACCCCCCCGTAAACTAATGAAACATTTTGCCAGGGGAGTTCATTAAACTTGTCTCATAAAAAAATCATTGTGATGATACCTTGATGATGATATCCAACGAAAGCTGCGTGAGATAGAGACATTAAACACAGTGTCGTGCGACTTTGTAAAATATTGGTTGTTTTTTGTCTCAAAAGTTTGTAATATTTGTAGTATTACCAGTTCCATAAATCGTCTATCAAATGTGAAATGCATACTCCTAATGGTAAATCATAATAAATCATTCACAGGAAACACGCCATAGAGTTTATTTCTCATCTCTGTAAATCTCTGTCTTCACAATGACCTTGTAGTGTTTAGCCTATCAATTTATAGTGATATTAAAGCTTAATCACTTGACATGTAAATCAAGCGATTTCCCCCGGCTCCATTAGCTCGCTGACTACACTCATAGAAATTTTTACCCTAAATCGCCCTAAAAAACTGACTTTTCGCCCGTGGATTTAGAAAATCGCCCATAAATCGTATCCGCTGGCGATTCGCCCGTGTATTTAGAAAAATTTTCTAAAAAATCCCGATGGAAATTTGGTTTAATTTAGGGTGATTTTTCTTGAAATAAGAAATATTTTCCTGTTTTTAGGGTGATTTGCCCTAATTTTAAGGTGTATTTTTCTAAAATTAAGGGCGAATTTTCTGTTTTTATAGGCAAATGCCCTAAAAAATTAGACAAATTAAAAAAAATCGTGTTTGAGCATGCTTAACTGAATTTGGGAAGCATGTTTTTTTTTTAATCGTCTATATTCTGGGAACTGGGACTGTTTTAATTAAACAACACCGGCGGAGGACACCGTTTCATATTATTGTATTGGTGTGTAGCTTATATGGGAGCCGCGTTAAGAGGGGGGCCCGATCTATACAGCACAGCCGTTAGAACTGAAAAATCATGTTTGTAGATGAATTAGGGAAATAAATATGAGGAGAAAAAACAACTTACTTTTTTTGGTCATTGCGAGAATCGAACCCACGACCTCTCGGCTTAGAGTCTAACGTCCTACCGCTGCACCACAGACCCCTCGCGCAAGACGACGAACAAACTCTGCACACATCTTATTTTCTTGAGGTCTACGTTATAATATGACTAAAGGCAACTAATCCGTATATTTTTTTCCTGAGGACTGTGACAATTAGTCCCGTTTTCTTGCCCGCAAACACAAAGTGTGCTTTTAACTCAGAACTCCCATACGTTTTTAAGGCTTAAAGACTACTTTAATTTAAAATTCGCACGAAAAAATGTCCTTAGTATTATAACGTTTAAAAAAAAAAAAAAAAACATAAAAATCAAGTTGAATCACACAGGGTTCGAACCCACAACCCCACGACTTTAGTCCTCATATAGCAAAGTTGAAAGCGCAAGTGATTAGACCGCTGGGCTACCGAATTTCACACTTTTGGAGTGATTTTTAAGGCGAATCGCCCTTGTATTTAGAAAAATTTTAGAAAAAAAAATTAGGGCAATTCGCCGTTGGATTTAGAAAAGGTCAAAACGAAGCAAATCGAAAAAAATCGCCCTAAATATTAGAAAAATAGAAAAATTAACCCTAAAAATATTTTTTTATGGTCACCTGCCTTAAATTTATGGCAAATTTGTCGTAAAAATAGAACATTTTTCTCAGTTCAAAGGCGAAAAATTTTTTAGGGCGATTTTCTAAAATGTAGAAAATTATTTTTATGAGTGTAATTAATCAACATTTGCTTGATTTCTTAATTGCCAGCACTAAACGCTGGGGGAGAAATTGAAACCGAGACCAAAGAGTTTGAGCGTCTGTGACTCGAAGAGCAAACAATTGCCCTAATGTGTGGGCAAACATTCTCGAAATGATGGCCCAAAACGACTAGATGGATGGCCCAAAAGTAATTTCCGTTTTGGCCTGCTCAATGGAAATGTCAACGGATGTCAGTCGCATGTAATTAAAACTTGTCACAAGAGTTCAGCTCCATTTGAGTTGTGAGTTTTTCCCACACACTGCGGATGTCGCTGCGGATACCCATGGGTTATGGTTATTCCTATCCATATACCATCTTCTTGGCCAGGCCATCGCCAATCATCTGGGGAAATTAAATCGAAAAGTTTTCAGCTGTGACAGAAATCGATTCTGTCTCGGAAAAGTTCTCCCACAGTTTTTGGCGCTAGTGAAAGTAAGCAAACGCTTGGTTTCCCAAGGAAAAGGGGGGGAAACTCTGGGTCTTATGGCTAATTGAGCACTACACCTGTCTCAGGCCAAAAGCCGCCAGGTGAACGATTATTCGCTGCCTTTGGTTCCCAAGAGTGAGCTGATAGCCTAAGCTGCTTAAAAGATTTCGTTTGTGTACACAGGGAGAAAAAAGGCAACTTTTATAGTGTTGCGTACAAAACGCAAAGTCGTTTTTGGTAAAGAAAAATCAAATTAAATACTATATTTTGTAAGAAGTGAATGCCATTCTTGTTTTTTATTATTTAAATTTCTCTCTGTGTACAGTGAAACCTGCCTGGGCCTGACAAGAGCAGCTTAGCGCCGAACTATATAAATCCCTTTCGGGGAAAGGGAACGTGCCACAAAATGCCATAAATGCCTCACCAATTACATTTGGCAAATTAAAAATCTGTCGAGATATTATAAAACCCAAACCAAACCCATTTCTATATCATTCTCTTACTAATCGGCTTTAGCCCATAATTCATGAGCGCCAAAATTGCCGAGTCCGCTGTTTTTGACCCATCTCCTCCTTTTTTATGCTGCGAACCATTCATCATCTGCTTTTATTTTTTGGTACTAACCTGCAAAGAAAAAAAGAGGGAAAAATTTTTGGATTAATTTTTTTAAAGTGAGCAAAAATAGAAGAAATCGTTTGAAAAGGGCAGCTGGAACGCCCCTTTCCAGGTTCTGGTAAACATTTTTACTTTTCCGTTCTTTTTCTACCCCAAACAAAATGCACCGGACAGAGGTTTTTTATTACAGCGTGGGAATGGAGTCAAAAAATCGAGGTTAAAAGCGGTTAGCGATTTATGCGAAATGAATCTTTGATACGCAAACTGCTGGCGGGCACTGTTAAAAGGAGATACATATAGATAGGAAAACTGGGTCGCCGCAAGGATTTTTCACTTGCTCAACTGCCACTGATTTGTAATGCAAATGAGGCAAAGTCGCTGGGTAACTAGTGCAAAAAGGATAAACATCCTTGCGCAGGCAAGAAAAGAAAAAAAAAAAACAAGAAAACAAGAAGGGAAACCTGAGGAGGCGTACGCAGAAGTACACTTCATGGGAAACAATTGCCATGTGAAGAGGAGAGGAGAGCAGAGGAGCAGGTGCAGCCGACAAAAACCCTGCACAAAAGCCGAGGGAGAAGCCAAAATAATAAGCAGACAGCTGTGGAGGGTGTAAGATACTGCAGACGAACTCGAGTGGCTTTGGCTCACCAGAAACCCAAGGAAGGGAAAATACAGAAAATCCAAGGGAACACAGGAAAATACAGCAAAACAAATTGCCAACGGATGTGGGATGCGTGTGCAGGACTCGAAGTTGGACGGGGATATATAGAGATACAAAGTGGGTTCTGGAACGGATCTGGTCAGCTAACAGGCTTCACTTACTTTACCTGCCCACAGAGCAGAGGAGCAACCGCAACGGAACTGGCTTCAGGAAGTGCAGCTAATGAGGTGGCCAAGCCCACGAACTAGGGAAAATAAACTGCAGCCATGATTGCAATGATGGGAAAACGGTGCTTCAAGGAGAAATGCACAGCGAAAAATACTAGTTGATGAGAAATATTTTTAGGAAAACCGATTTCACCCAAACAATCCACTTATTTCTTCGCCTGGGACCAGTATCAAATCCAAGGAATGACCTAAGCCAACAACCCATGACCTAACCCAAGCTCGAGTTACCAGTAAACCATTGAAAATCCCCTTGAACAAATGATGATGATCATTTGCAAACAGTGCCAAATGTGCGATAAAGTGGGAGTGGAGGAGTGGAGTAGATAGGGACATACATGTTCGTGCTTGGACAACATGCTTCATTAGAAATGTAGCATGTGTAGGCACCCATACCGTTTTGTTCCCCGCATTGCATTTAGAGCATTGCCCAAGGATTACGCAAATGGCACCTCTGTTCCCCTGGAGCCCCCTTTTTGGGACGCCCCTTTGGACCGCATTCAAGCCTGAAATTGTTCGCATGGCGAATGGCTCGTTGCATTTAAATATTAATAAACATGGCGTGCCAAGAGCTGAGAGCGCCGAATGCCGCGTCCCAAATGCGAGCACAGCTTTTTTTCTCTGTTGGGCATACGTGACTTCCATGAGTCAACCCAACCGGAGGAGTCAGCCTCCTTGGTCCCTCCACCCCTTCATGTAAGTGCTCTGAACTTTGGCCAAAAAACGCTGCCGAGTCAGGCAACGAAAAATATTCGCCAGTGCCTCGTTTTCCCTGGAGCTGCCAAAGGCGCACCTTTTTTGCTGTTGCCGCCCATTTACCACTATATAGCCCCCCTGGTTATATAGCCACCATCTACATCCACATCCCCAGCCATTCATTCCATTCACACAGTTCTTGTTTCGCCTCGTTTTGCGGCTTGTGGCCTGTGTTTCCATGTCATAAGCGGGTTGCCTACATATTAAATCATCATAGAGCCCCGGCAAAAACGGGAAAACAGCAAAAGGGTTGAGTTGGTGGGCAGTCCGAACACCGTACCCCTTTTGGTAACCCCCCTTTTGGGACAGGCGCCGGTTGAAAATTACAATAAGCATATGTCGGAACGCCCAAATGCAAAACTACCAGCGACAACAACCAGAATTAGCCATGTCAAGAGACCAAAAACAGCAAAAGACATTCAAGAGTGACTAGACAGTATAAATGTTGATAGTTAACAGCCACTTTGGATGCTCTATAGGTTGGAAAATACAAATTTTTATGTATAAAATATGTTATCCAAAGATTACGCAGGTCTGTCTTAAAAACTTTTTAAATGTTCACCTGGATAACCCATAAATCAACCGTAAACAAACCCATATTTATCATTTAAAAGGTAGAGATATACCTACCCCTCCCTCTAAAATAAAACTAATTTTAAGAGCTCCTCCTAACATTTCCGTTAGGGCTCAACCCCGGACAGAACCGACTTGGCAACCGATCCGGCAACTATTGTCTATCCGATATGACATCATGCCAGCTCGGCCGGCGATCTGTTGAGCCAAATGAAAGGAGACAAAGACAGGGCCAAATAAAAATAAAGAGAAAAACAAAGATAAAAAGACCAAAACAGAAGACTGACCATTTGACGGCTCGTTTGAGCTGAGGCCCAAGGAGCTCCGCATTTCCCCCGCCACAAATCATCATCATCGTCAGCTGCTGGAAATTTATAGGCAGCGACAGCGAAAACAATTGGCCACAAAACGATCGAAGCTGACATTTAAATGTTTTATAATAAATGTCATTTGACAGCTGACAGAATGGGCAAAAGGAAGCAGCGAAGGCTTTCACCTGGCGATGTTGGCCATTTAAGGATTGGTTTTCATTTTGTGTGTGGTTCAGGGAATTGCGCAATCTGCACAGGAAGCTCTTCAAGCCCAAGGCGAATTTTTCTCGCTTTTACGACCACCTCATTTGTTTTATGTTTACAGCCCATTTGACCTTTAGTTCTGCAGTTGTTAAGCTAAAATCCGCAAAGCAAACAAAAACATATAATTCTTTTACGGTTTTGGGTCTTTTTTTGTTTATTTTTCTCTTCTGTCTGCGGCTAATAATCTTGTCAAATGAAGTGACACTAGTTTTGGTTATTACCCCCTAAAATAATCTAATTTCAGGAGGTGTGTCTGCCTTTTTGTCGGCAAACAAAAATCAATAACGAATTTTATCATATGCAAATAGACGAACAAAAGCAATTTGGCCCAGCTTATCGCCTATCTAATGTCGGAAATACTGATATTTATTCACAAGGGGTGAGGTGGAAAATTTTCTGGGGCATTGCTGTCATTATTGCACTGATAATATTGTGGGTTAAATGCATTCAAACGAAGTTCTAAATCAACAGTCGTAAAATAGTGACTGCACGTAAACAAATGATAGGGAATGTGTTATTTATTCATTTCTTATTCAAATCAAAACAAAAAATGTATAACGTTAGTATATATTTTTCTTAATTGAGAAGTTTTTTTGTTTTAAAATCCATTTAATTATGTATTTTTTAAACTGTAAAATATTTAGACATTTAGACTTTAACATAACTGCCTCATTAATTTGCAAAACTGTTTGCCAAAGCCTCTGCGACGTGACCAGCCTCACATTCTTGAAAATATATATACAAACGATCGTAAATAAAATTGTATGGCCGTACCTGGCGCTGGTGTTCAGATGTCCCCCATAAACATTTCAGAAAAATATACATTTTACGAGCCAAACAGAAAAAAAAAGTCAACCATAAACAATTAACTAAACAAAAAAGTACAGAAAAACGAGTGAGAGAAGTCAGAAATTAAAGCGTGTGACATGGTGTAATGAGGATTTACGAAAGGTGACCGTAGGGCTGCTTGGATTGCGATCCCGAACGTGACATCAGCATATGGCTCGAAACCCCAGAGAAATTCAGGTAGGAGAATGAATAAATCCTCGGTACCCTCGGATTCGTGGAAAGGCTACAGAAATACATTTATTTTTGGGAGGGAGGCAACGAGACGAGACGCCTGTCATTAAGTGGCAGGCGCCAGGGACAGGAAACTGAATTAGTGCCACCTACGCGCAGTTGCCACGCCCACAGCAGCGCCCACACGAGTCCTCCTCCGCAGGATGTAAATTGACTTGACTGCCGAACGAAAAAGTACAAAAAAAGAGAGAAAAAATCCAAAGCAAAGTCAGCTCAAAGGCAATTTGCGGCAATTAAAGATACATTCGTATCGTTGTGTATTTGTGCGACGCAAAATTGCCTGTCCATTAGCAAAACGTTGATTTTGTGTTATTTTACTCAATTTACTTGCCATTGACATTTGAACTTGGCTGGCTTTGATTAAAATAGACCAAAGAGTGTGTGTGTCCGTATGGGAATAGCAGCAGAAATCACAAAAGATTTATTGAAAT